TGCACTCTATGCCATCTTCCAGGTCATTGATGAAGATATTGAACAAAACCGGCCTCAAGAATGACCCCTGGGGCACTCCACCTGATACCAGCTCCCAACTAGACATCAAGCCATTGACTACTAGCCTCTGAGCCTGATGATCCAGCCAGTTTTCCATCCACCTTACAGATCATTCATTGAACCCATACTTCTTTAGCTTTCTTGCTTGATACACTGGAGAAGACTGTATTAAAAGCCTTGCTGAAGTCAAGGTACGCCACCATCCACTCATCTCCCCACATCCACAGAACCAGTCATCTCATCATAGAAAGCAACCAGGTTGGTCAAGCATGACTTGCCCTTGGCAAATCCATGCTGACTGTTCCTAATCACCTTCTTCTTCAAGTGATTAGAAATGGATTACTTAAGGAATCTGTCCCTATAGTCATCAATCAACAATCCTCCACAGTTGAGGACAATTATCTTCCATGATTGCTTTGTCTGCGGATCTGAAGAGGGCTGATGAAGCTGATCCAGGATCAGGCTCTGCTGCAATTTGAGCACATATTTCTGTGTGGAGTGGGGGGCTCTAAATTCTTGATTCGTGCCACAACATGCTGGTTCTGCTGCTCCCACTTCTCCATCTCCTGTTATCATCAAGAGGTTTCAAAGTACTGAGATCTTTGCAGCAGACTCTGCCTCCACTTGGGGGGTGGGGGATTGCAGTGGCCCTGGATGATAGTCTTCCATGAGTTGATGTTACATTTTTTCCAAGCTGGACTTCAGGATGTTCCTGAAGCACTTTTTCTGCCCTTCTCTTGAGGGTATGCCTCAACAGAGCTGGAGGAATAAAACTTGCTTCGGAAAACTAAAGTCAGACATCTGGATAATGTGACTAGCACAGCAAAGTTGATGTTGGATGATTATTGCCCCGATGCCCATGGTGCTTGCTTGTGAGACAAAGCTAATGTTGAGTCTGATATTGCAATCTTCAAATGCCTGTTCTCAGGTGTCCAAAGACTGCACTTGCACTTTTAAGGCTATGCTGGATTTCTTCATTGATGTCAGCCTTCTGAGAGAGATGGCTTCTGAGGTGCAGAAAATACTCAGCATTCTCCAGAGTCTCACTGCAAATCTGAATTACCAGAGCTGGGGATTGCTCAGTAAGAGCTTGTTGAAGGAGTACCTTAATCTTCTGAATGTCAGTCCCATTTTCTTGAATGCCTTGGTAAAGACATTAACAATTGCCTGAAGGCAGTAGCAGATTAGTATTTCTTAGGACCCTGGGCAAACAAAAAAATTGGAGGCCCCCCACCAGGTTGCCGCTGTGCCCACCAGGGAGCTGCTGCTGGGCCCAATGTGGCCCAGCCCCTCCACCCGGTGGGTGTCAATCAACCAGGGCTGCAGTCCCCCAGCACTGTGAGATGGGTCAGGGGCAGGGCATGGGTTCCATGCCACCCATAGCTGCCTGCCTGCCCCTCTGCTGGCCCTGGCAGGGGCAGGGGGGCTGTTCTGTCTCAGCAGTGCTGATGCCAGCAGCCACCCACAGACTGTAGAGAGCAGAAGCAGGGCCGCCCATAGGGTCTCCTAGCAACAGATAGCTCCAGGAAGCCGCCACCACCACCCATACAGAGTCCTATGTCCATCCCCAAGCCTCTGGCCCTGCCCCCAGCTGGAGGGAAGGAGGCACGCACTGCCTGTCCCAGATGCCTGTGGCCAGGATGCCTGTCTGGGTCAAGCTGCCCCTGGAACCCCAGGGGGCCTCTGATTGGCAGGGGCCCCTGGGCCTATGCATTAATCCACCCCTACTTCCAAGTGAGCACACATTACAGCACCATCAGCATACTGGAGTTCGATGCCTGAGGTTGGGGATGGTCTTGATTTTAGCTCAGAGTCAGCTGAGATTAAACAACTTTCCATCCATTCAATAGTTTAGCTTCACTCCAACTGGAAGCTTGTTGGTGGTCAGATGTACCATCATGGTAAAGAGTATTGAGAAGAGTGCTGGAGTGATGACACAGCCTTGCTTAACTCCCGTCCTAACCTCAAAGGGATCTGTGATAGATCTGTTACTGAAAACCACTGCTCGCATACTGTCAAGGAGCAGGCAAGATGAATTTTGCCAGTGATGAATTTGGGTGGGCAGCCATACTTCAGATGGATCCTCCACAGTGCTTCTTGGTTGATAGAGATGAAGGCTTTCATGTAGTCAAAGAAAACCACGTAGAGAGTTTTCTATTGTTCCCAGCATTTTTCCTGCAACTGGTAGGTAAGCAGTGAAGATCATGTCAGTTGTGCCTCTTGATGCCTGAAACCCACACTGAAATTCCAGGAGGAGTTCTTCACAAGTGAAAGGAGACTGTTCAGAAGGGTTTTTACAATGATCTTCCTGTGGTGGACAGCAAGGTGATCCTTCTATAGCTTCCACAGTTGGTCTTGTCTCTTTTCTTGAAGATTGTCACAATCTTATTATCTCTAAGGTCGTTTGGGATTTCATCATTCCAGATCATTAAGATGGGGGCTTGGAGCTCTGATCGAGTGCCTCTCCTCCTGGGCTTGAATGTTTCAATGGGAATTCCATCAGCTCCAGATGCTTTGTAATTCTTCTTCTACTTAATGGCTTTCCTAACCTCATCAGAGGTTAGAGGGATTCCAAAATCATCTCTGACTGGGTGTTGCAGGATGGAGTTGAGAGCACTCTCACCAGCAACAGTGTCTCAACAAAGGAGGTCTTCAAAATGCTCCTTCCAACAGGTATTGATGGCTCCCCTTTCCTTGATCAGGTCTCTTCCGTCCTTAGATCTGAAAGGGGCTGTTCTCAGAGTGCTTACGCTCAGACAGAAGATGGCTTTGGTGGCATTGGAAAAGCCATGCATAGCATAGATATTATTGAGATGTTGAATCTCCTTCACCTTGTCTTCCTACCATCTGTTCTTCATATCACAGGTCCTCATTTGGACCCCAGCCTTGGGCAGAGGAAGATTAAGGTTTATTAGTCCCCTGGGCAAACAAAATTGGAGGCCTCCTCCCCCTGTGGGGGCTGGATGGGGGAGAGGGGATGGGGGGACCCCTCCCCTCCTGGTGCTGCCTCTGCCAAGGGCAGAGTGGGCCTCCATGCCCCATGGGGGAGGCTGGGTGGACCCAGATGGGCTGGGGGTAGGGAGCACATGCCCACCTCTTCTCCCTGCCTCCCTTCCCCGCCATCCCTGCCCCCATGGCCAACAGGTTAAGGGTGGATGAGGGCTGCCTACTGCCAACTCAGGTCTCTCCACTCTGCTGCTTTTGCCCCATGGGCACCCTCACTCCCTGCCATGCACATAGCCACACACACGCACACACCCTCCCTACCATAAGCACACACGCTCACTCTCTGGACTTGGACACACAGACACAAAGACACTCTGCCTGCCATGAACACACACACACACTTTCCCCTCACAGGACCTCCCCCCTCTGCCCCAGCCAATCCTTATGAGGGCATTTCTTCTCCCCACTGCACCATGTCCCCAGCCCCAAGCAGGGGGGTGGCAGGCACTCATCTTGGTGAGCATGGCCAGGCCACGGCCAAGCAAGTGGAGCCATGCGCTGTACTCAGTAAACTACTTCTGGTAGCGCCGCACTGGCCACACCCCAAACAGGATCCCTTGCAGGCTAGACTGCTGCCCACCTACAAGGGGAAAACTGCCATTTCCAAGGAAACTCAGGCAGGGCGATGGGGGTGGGGGGAACGACCCAGGCATCCAGGGGCTGGTGATTGGCAAGGTTCCCTGGATCCAGGCCTCACTGGCCTGTGCATTAATGTATCTATGGCCTTGACTTGTTGGTGACTCAATTTCTTTGCTTGGAGTTGATGTCATTCTGCTAAGCACAAAAAGCCTTGGATCAACTCTTAGATTAACTCAATCAACTCTTGGATCTCCCCATCATTCTCAAGCTAGTCTTGATGTTTCTGGTAGAGAACCCAAGTGTCTTTTCACAGGTGCTGCTGATGGTGGACTTGAATGCTCCCTGAGTGCTCCTGATGTTCTCTCATTGTTGTGTGGGAGTTTTTTGTTGAGGCACTGGTAGAAGAGGTCTCACTTGATTAGGTCCTTGAGTTCTTCAAAATTGATCTTTTGTCTGCATTGCTTCCGTTGCAGCCATCATTTGGGAGCCAGTTTGTCCCTGAAGTAGGTTTCATCTTTATCTCTAACCATAAAGATTATGGTAAAGCCCTAATGTACAAGGTTTATTTTCCTTTCCAAACTGTTTATCAGTAACTACAATTCTGGGTATATCCAATATCCATATAAACAGCAGCTTCCTATTTGAATCTTGTTAAATACTTGATCTCCATGACCTCCTATAGCAATGTATCCCACAGTCTACTTACATAGTGTATAAAAGTATATATGATTGTAGACTGCAAATTCTCCATCTCTTAAATCAAACTCAAGCCCCCTAGTCTTTATTATAAGAAAATATTTCTGACCCACTTTACATACTTGACATATTTCTATCATGATCCTTTTCATTTGTCTTCCCAAAGATAAGGAATCACACTTTTTCTTATATTTCATATACAAGATTTCTTATTTGCCACCTCCCCTTTCTAGCACCTTCTATAAAAGTTGAACCACCTCCAGCAAGTTCTTTTTTGAGACTTTTTGATGAGGGAGGCTAGATTCAGATGAACCCTTGGATCTTGAACCATTTTTGCACACAGTATTTAAGGCAAGGCTATACTATTAAGACACAAAGGTATTATTTTTAATATTGTTAAATATTTAGATTATATTATATTTTAATATTCAAAAATAATTTTATTAAAATATTATTCAACCCAACATCTCCATACGAGCTACGACAGAAAGTCATATTTCAAAGACATACAGACATTTAGAACAATTTAAAGTGACTCACAGTGGAACACAGAACTTGAATGACTCTTCAAAGTATTTCCCATCAGGACAATTACATCCTTCAGCACAATCAGGTCCACAGACATTCAGGGTAGAAAGGGAAGCACAGGAGCGTTCACAGGTAGAGGAACAATGGTGATACACCATGCCACTGTGACATACTACAGCTGGGAGAAGAACACATTAAAATGTTGAATTGAAATAATATCACTGACAAACATAAAACAGTATGAAATAACCAAGAGGGATATGATCTCCCATATTTTCCAAAGAGTTATGCCAAGCTATGCCCACAAGATTCTTAGGTAAAAACAAAAAAATTTCAGATTACAGTCGTGTTTAGAAAATACTTTGCTTCACAGGTCTTGCAGTTTTCAATTATTAAATGCAAGATGTTTCATTGAATTGCTGATACTTTTCCATTTTTTTCTTTTTAGTATAAAGTATTTTCAGTGTATTTCTAATAACTGAGGTTTCCATGACATAAGGAGAGTCCAGTGGTTTAGGCATCAAGCTAGAATTTGGGAGATCTGGATTCAACTCCCTGTTCTGCCCCTAAATTCTTATGTAATCCATGACAAGTCTCTTTTCTGTGCTTCTCTGAGACTTGTGGGCTCCTCTGTGCTTCAGTTCTTCATTTTTAAAACAAAAATATTAAGGAACAGAGACAAGAAATTATAATTTATATCCTTAGATCTTTTACATGCCAGGGAGTATATGCACTAAATAGAGGAAAATTTAAAGGGTAGAATGAAAAGTGAAAAGCAGGAAAGGTAATCTATTTTTCTCTTATTTTCTAAAAAACTTCCAAACCAACTTTGCGCAATTTTTTTCAGGAGAAAAAACCTCCTTGGCTTGCATTTAAAAACCTTCAAATTCAGCACTTTTAGTAACTGTTCTTCTATTCAGTACCTGAATTATGGGGTCAGTTATTGTAGCTGTACTAAAATCAGCAAGTTTTTCCTAATGTGCAATAACTCTCCCCCAGCAAGACTTGACATTCCCAGCAATGCAGCTGACATTCTGTGTATTCACTTCGTATAGAATCAGATTTTTTAACTGTGGTCCTCTAATCAATAGCAGTCCAAAAAGCTATAGTAAGTTGTTCACAGATCATACCACCCCCCCAACTTTCCATTAAAAATTGAATTAAGGAATAGAGGGTAAATAGTGGTCTGCTGGTCCAAAACATATGGGACAACCACTCTGTTTCATCCAAACACAGTGGTTAATACAAGCTAAAACAAATCTGTGCTTTATACAACTATCATCCTTATTGAATTCACATTTCTAAAATTAATCTAGTTCTACAATTGTTACTCACCACAGTATGAAATATGAGTTCGGAAATCAACAGTAATTCCATGTTTGCCACAGATATAGGCATAATGTGCAAGTGCGTTACACAAACAGCTGCTTCCACATTTACACGCATCAAAACGGCACAGCTGGTAGTATAATCCTGGGCTTACATAGGCATGACATGGAGCAAAAAGTTCTTGATGGACGATATCACAAAGGGAAGCATACCCAACTGGAAAAAGGCAACATTTTATTTTTAGCTGCATCTTAAATACATCTGTTGCCAAATAAAAATAATATAAAAATATGCCACGTCATACAACTATGCAATAAAAGCTTCTGCCCAAAGTAGTTACATAAAAGAATGAAATTTTTGCAATGTCAGATTTAAATTACAATACCAGTAAATTTCCCTTAGATAAACACAGCTAAATAAATATCTGTGTTTTCCTATAATCACATCAAGAAAGCATGTAAATGGAAATAGAATATATTTCAAGTAAAATAATTAAGGAAAGTCTTTGAGAGTTTTGCACTTCTGCACAATTGATACTATATTCAGTCTTACTGCCTGCAATGGCCAATCCTTTATGGCATGCAGGCTCTGCATATATTTCCAATTAGAGCACTGGGATACAAGTATACCAATGTCACTGCTCTCTCTACATGTCCCAATGGGTTTCCTAGGGTTGCTGATTGCTTTCTGGCCAGTTCATTGTCCTTCTTATCTGGCACAAAACACTCAATTATTTTTGCTCTGATATTGGGCCCATTTCTTGCCTTGGCCATTTTATCTCATGGCATTAACAGAAGCAGCAGATTGCAAGCTTGGCTGTTGCATGATGGGATAGCTGCTATGTGGATGATTTCTTCATAGATTCATAGATGTAGGGTCGGAAGGGACCTTGTAGATCTTCTAGTCTGACCCCCTGCCATGGGCAGGAAAGAAAACTGTGCTCATATGACCCCAGCTAGGTAAACATCAAGCCTCCTCTTAAAGACCCCCAAGGTAGGAGCCAACACCACTTCCCTTGGAAGTTGGTTCCAGATCCTAGCCACCCTGACTGTGAAGTAGTGCCTTCTAATGTCCAGTCTAAACCTACTCTCTAGCAACTTATGGCCGTTATTCCTTGTTACTCTGGGAAGCGCTTGGGGGAACAAGGTCTCTCCCAATCCCTGCTGGTCCCCCCTAGTAAGTTTATAAACGGCCACCATGTCCCCCATCAGCCTTCTCTTGTGAAAGCTAAACAGGTTCAGGTCCCTGAGCCTCTCCTTGTAGGGCCTGCCCTGCTGTCCCCATGCAAGTGGCCCTCCTTTGGACCCTCTCAATGCTGTCTACATCCCTCCTGAAGTGCGGCACCCAGAACTGGACACAGTACTCCAGCTGCAGCCAGACCAGTGTCACATAGAGGGGGAGGATCACCTCCTTGGCCCTGCTTGTGATGCATCTGTGGATGCACGACAAGGTACGGTTAACCCTACTGACCGTGTCCTCACAATGTAGGCCCATGATCATCTTGGAGTTAATAATGACTCCAAGATCTCTTTCTGCCACCATGCTTTCGAGATGGGAGTTCCCCAGCCTATAGGTATGCTGATGATTCCTACTGCCTAAGTGCAGCACCCTGCACTTGTCAGTATTGAATCCCATCCTATTTTCATTTGCCCACCCCTGTAACCTGTCCAGGTCCCACTGTAATCTATCCTTCCCTTCTAGCGTGCTCATCTCACCCCAAATCTTGGTATCATCCACGAATTTAAACAGTGTGCTTTTCATCCCCTCGTCCAAGTCGCTAATAAAGAAATTGAACAGTGTGGGCCCAAGGATCGAGCTCTAGGGGACTCCACTGCCCACTTCCTTCCAGGTCAAATATGACCCATCCACCACCACTCTCTGAGTACAACCCCTCAGCCAATTTGCAATCCATCTGACTGCGTAGGCATCATTGCCACAGTCACCTAGCTTTTCAATGAGAATGGGGTGGGAAACAGTGTCAAAGGCCTTCCTGAAGTCCAGAAAGACTACATCTACCGTGATACCTGCGTTCAGTGATTTTGTGACCTGATCGCAGAAGGCAATCAGGTTGGTCTGACAGAACCTGCCCCTAATGAAACCATGCTGGTTGCCCTTAAGCATCATCCCTGCTGCTGGCCCACCACAGATGTGATGCTTGATAATCTTCTCAAAGAGCTTCCCCAGGATTGAAATAAGACTAATGGGCCTATAGTTGCCCAGGTCCTTCCTCTTCCCTTTTTTAAAGATGGGAACCACATTGGCCTTCTTCCTGTCGTCCGGCACCTGGCCAGAGCACCACGAGTGGTCGTAAAGCCATGCCAGGGGCCCCGCCATAACCTCTGCCAATTCCCTCAACTCCCTGGGGTGGAGAGCATCTGGACCTGCTGATTTGAACATGTCCAGCCCCTCCAGAAGATCTCTA